GCAGCTGGTTTGGCAGTTGCTGGGTTGGATCAGCCCCAGTGGAATGGTAAGGGGGGATGTCACTACTGTAACACAGGTCACAGGTTCTAAACACTCAGGGTCTACTCTATACTGTACACGGGTGCGGGTAAGGTCTAGGGATCGAACCCTGGGATCTGCATCTTCTTCTGCAAAAAGGTGAAAACTGTTTCAGTGGACACTTGGTGACATTTTTTTTTGGCGATTGCCCAGATTCGGACATGGTATTTGGACAGAGATATTTGGGACTATTTTTGGAGCCCATGAATTTGCAGTGCTATTCAAGTTGGTGTCTCCTTCTCCTCCCCACTTTGTCTCTTCTCCACCTCCTTTGTCTGTATATGCATTGTCCACATGGCAGCTTTCTTCCATGTTTGCGCTACCATGTCTTTCCTGTCTGTATGAGATGATGGATGCTTGCAGTCAGTCTGAGTCATGACGAGTCAGATCTATGCATATCAGTCTCCTGCTGCATTGTTATAATTGCTCTTTCTGTTTTGGTCAGTTTTTGGGTTCTGCACCATGCTGCTCTGAGTGTCTTAGGCATGCGACACCGGCCCTCCTTGCAAATTGCAATCACTTCCCCACCACCCCAAGTGTCTCTAACTTTCCAAACGACCAACGGGCTCTCTTCCTCTGTGACCTTACCCACTTACCAAGGTACGGGTAAGTCTTGCCAGGTCTCTTTCCAATGAGTCAGACTCGGGTAGGGTCTTGCAAGGTCTCTTTCCAACGAGTCAGGATACCATGAATTATTGCTTCGAGCCTTTCCGCTACTGCCCTTAAACGACCAGTACTTCTGCAGCACGTTTCTTGAGGTCTGGAAAGTTTAACGCCCTGTGCACTAAGAAAAGAGGAACCGGCGCAGGCCCCCTTTTGGCTAGCATCACCAGCCATTTTGATCTGGCAACCCGGTGTCAACCGGTGGAAGTGATCTGCCGGCACGCCAACTGTTCCCTGTGTGTCGCCCCACGTCTGTCACCCACGGGAGAGAAGGTCGGGGCTCCTGTAACCTGCAAGAAAACTAGGTTAGTCCAGACCCACACAATGACCACTGAAATCGATTGGAGACGCAACAATGAGAGACTCACAAACCAGAATTCGGTAAAAACAAAATATGCATTTCCATTTAGTCTGAAATAATAGGTTCCTCAGCGCTAGTCGCAGTTCCAGAAATAGATCCCGCGTCCAAAACAGAAAAATCAGTTTGAGTCCCGACCGATCTTACTAACAGTCTAGGGTGGATTCTCCGCCCAATGGGGTAACGCCGGTAACGTGCTCGCTGATCCAGGGAATTGTGCTCGAACTCTCAGTGTCCGAGGCGGAGTCAAGGGCCCATCGCGGTCACGGTCTAGCTTCACCATATGTCGTCCTTGCCGCCTGTTGTCCTCAGGAATTGGAACCCCAACGATCAGGCTCTGCTACCGGTTAACCGAGTCACCTTGCTCATGTCCTGGACGAAATCATCTCTTCGGCTAGAGCTCGAGTGGCACAAGGACTGAGCCTGCCAGACCCATTTCCCTAGTCCCGACTTGGTCCCAGAGACCCCGGTCTAAACTCTAATGACCTTACTCGGTCTCAAGTGCCAATGTCTCGGCCTGGTCTCGTGCCAAAGCCCCGGCCCGAAGTTCCAGTCCGCTCAAAGTCCCAAACCTGGTCGAAGTTCGGGCCCTGCCTGAAAAATCCGTGTCCAGTGCCTCAATCTGAACCCAAGCGTCGTTCCGTTCTCCAATGTCCCGGCCCGAACTCCCAATGTACTTGTCCGGTCTTAAATGTTCCAGTCCGGTCCGCAAGCCCCGATCCGATCCCAAAGCCCCGTCACTTCATCCCTGGTCCCGTTCTGGCCCGGAGTCCAAGCCCCGTGATCCGGTTTGGTCAGATAGCCCGGCCTGATCACGAGTTCCCACCCTCGCTCAAGTCCCGGCCCTGTCCAAAGCCTGTCCCAAAGGCCCCTCTCAGCATGTCCTCAAAGGCCCACTCAGAAGGATGGCCTAAACGTGGTCCAAGAAGTTCAAGAACCCTTTTCGTTGAAGGCCCGTGACGGTGTCTCGAAGTCTTGGTCTGTCCGGTCCCGTAGCCCCGGACTGTGTTCCAAAGTCCCAACTTAGTCCAAAGTATCCCAGCCTGATCGAATCTTTCGGCCCGAGCCCCCGTAGTCCCACTATTTCAATCTACCTGTTATCGGTCCCGAAATCCCGGTCCGTCCACAAAAGGGTCCCGACTCGGTCCCGTGGCCCTGCTTGGGTTCCTTGTCCCCGGCCCGCGTAACAATCTCAGCCTGACTATGCCCGGTCTCGAACTTAGTCGGTCCCACCCTAGGTCCCGTAGTCCCAGTCGGCTGAAGTTCCTGTCAAGATCCGGGCCCGTGCCTCTTTAGGTCCCGCGCCCGAAGTCCCACTTCGTGTCCAAAAGCCCTGTTCGCGCCCAAGGTCTCGGTTCACCCGTGGATGGGCGCCTGCTGCCGCCCGCGACCCCGACCGTGAGTGCACTCCGCTATTGCGCCCTATCACCGCGACCCAATCTTGATCACGCAGGTGCGACGTTGTCGCGCGAGACTATCCCACCTCGATGCTGATCGCGGCTGTCCGTGCTTGTGCGCGCTCGTTCACGCGGCCTCACAGGGGAGTTGCGCGTTGACGCGCGCCCATGCGCGGGGCCACTTCGGCTGTGCGCGGGGGCTGCACGCTGATGCGCGCCCGTGCGCGTTTGGGTGTGGATATGGTGCGCACAAGCGAGCCTTTTCCCGATCACTCTTCCCGCTTATCCCCCCGTCAGCCCGCCTTGTCGCTCCTGGATGCGCGCCTGTTTTGACTGTCCAATTGCCTCCCGAGCTAGCCCACACGTGCCAGCTCCGTGCGTCTCCGGAAGTGCGTCTCCAGCTCACTCCCGAGCTCCCGTAGTTCGCCCGTAGTGCGCTTGTGGGAATTGTCCGCCCCTGAGCCCAGTTGGGCTTTTATGCTTTGATGGGCCCTCTCCTCGGAGTGTCTCAGCCCCTGTGTGCTCTGGGGCCGCCAACAAGTTGCAGCGCCCTGGTACCATGGCTTTCCTGAGCCTGTGCCCGGGCCTGTTTGGGCCCCCGAAGAGTTTTCACCGAAGGGGCTTTTTCGTCGGGTACCAGGCCTTTTGCAGCGCCCTGATACCGGCCCTCCTTCCGAACCTAGGTCCGGGCCTGTCCTCCCGTTGTCCCCACATGAAAGGCACCGGTCCTTATAGAATTTCGCAAGGCCCGAACCCCGGGGTTAATAATCCACGGCCCGAGGGCCCTTTTCCCAATTTTAGGCCTGCACCCCTCTTTTAGGCCTCACGTACAGTCTAAATGCAACAGTCCTGAGCATGCTCGCGTAGCGTTCTTCTCTCAAATTTTGGACTCCGTGGCGAACTTTAATGTTATCGCCGCTTAGTCCACCCGAGGGCTCGTCTTAGAGTCCAGCGTCCCTTTTTGACTGACCCATTGCCCGACATTTTCTGTAAGTCTGGCCGCTCCATTCTTGTACCTTGTCCGGGCCTCTGGTGTTCTCATCCACAACAGCTATGCTTTTACACCTTGAGTGCGACGGTCCTCTGTAGTGTCCATGCCCAGCCATCCTTTGTGGTCCGCCTTCTCTCTGACGGATCGTCCCTAATACTCGTGGCATGAACCTGATATCGCAATCCATCGATGTCGGTCAGGCCCCACCTCGTAAATTCGGTAAATCCGGTACCCTCCAAGTGTCATCTTCAAGGAAGTGAAGGGCGGCGTAAGGCTGGAGCCGCCCGACACCGGCCCCCAAAATTTCTGGCCGTATTTGAGCCACATATTTGTCTTTCAAGCAGAAAACGTACTGGTTGTTTAAATTAAGTGAGCCAGTTTTGCCCTTAAACTGCTGATGCTGAGACTTCCATTTGATCCTTTTTTTGTTTCAAGGGGCAAGTATCTTAAAGTCCCAACCCATGTTAGAAATGGGCAACAAAGTTCATGTACGTCCAGGTCTCTCACCCGCCGAGTTCAAAAGGGGCACTTTGAAATAAGTGTGGATGTCACAACTACAGGGTTGGACCGTTATGATTAGACAGCCTGTCAGTGAGTTAACTACGGCAAAAAGTTGCCAAAACATTGAAATAAGTGTGGATGTCACAACTACAGGGTTGGACCGTTATGATTAGACGGCCTGTCAGTGAGTTAACTACGGCAAAAAGTTGCCAAAACAAATTACAACATTTTTGGGTGTTTTGCCATTTCAAACTCGGGTATTGACAAAACTGCCGGTATTTGCTTTTTTTGCCCATTTCAAACTAGAAGTGCGACTCAGATGCAGTTATCTCTTGTTTTTAAGGTGAACTGAGGGTCCAGCAGCTTTTTCCTCCTCAGAACCCTGATTGATGTTCAAGAATCCATGTGATGCTTGCTGTTGTTTACAAATGCTAAGCAGAACATTGACTGGAGTTCTAACAGCATCAGTGAGTGCTGAGCATCATCATACGGCGACTGCACTAAGAAGAAAGTCAGCTGAGGCTTGATCATGCGAGGGGGGCCACTGGGCAGGGGGGGTGCACCGTTGCAAAAGCACCGCCCGATTTCTGTGGGCACCGTGGTTAGCACAGGGGCTTGGGTCTTCCGTTTGGTTACTGGCCAGGGATTGTCACTCCGACCATGACAGCTGTAGTTTTCTCTCCCATCTGCAAGAACTGGCCCAGGCCCAGAGGAGGGTAACCGTTGCAAAAGGGGACTCGGGATTTCCGGTGTTTGGTTCTGGGCCTTCTGGCTGCCGCAAGCTTACCGTACGGGTTGCCTTCTCGAGCAGACCGGAGGAGAGTAAGAGCCAGCTGAGGGAAACAATAGAGTAAACAACTGGCATCCAGGACCTGGTTAGTACCGTCTTCACCCGGATAAGAACGCATGGTCTGTCATAGGTTTGGGATGGAAGGTCGTTGGCAAGAAGTTGCTTGATCATGTGAGCCGTGGTCGAAGGCCGGGCCATGCGTGCCCTGTTGCTAGGGCTCGTGTAGTTTCTCCTCTTCTATTACTGAAGTTGGTGCCTCTCACGGTCAGTGACAGGATTTGCCTCTCACGGTCGGACGAGAAACTGTTTTGGGGACAAGGATGGGGGATTCAGACGACGAGGCTAAAATGACTGTGGGATTTGAACAGAGGTTCCACGGCACTAGGAAAGACATTCTAATGGGTGCTCGTGATAAGAATACTCCGTTGTATGTTAATGTGCACCCTCATCAGCCATGGGTTGTCTTTATTGCTCAAGGAAGATCCGTTCAAGTGTGGAACTGCGAAGAGGGGAGGGGAGTCAAAGCTTGGGACATAGCGAGGGTTATAGGCCGATCGGAAGCAGCAAAGATTGTAGCCCGGCAGAACCGACTGTTCATCGTGCTGAGGAAACGAAACTGTTTCCTGATGTGCGAAGTGCAAGGGCAAAACTGGGAGTTGCAGCAATTGAAGAGTGTGAAAGCACATCGCAGCCGAGTTGAGGATGTGCTCTTTCATCCTACCTTATCTAGTGTGATAACGTATTCCGTAAGGTCAGTTAAGCTATGGAATTGGACAGCAGGCTGGGTATCTAAGACCTTCAAATGTGAGTCTGGGAAAATAACTGCAGCAGCATTTCATCCACAGGAGTCGGAGATTGTCTTTGCGAGTGCCTCGAGGGACAGGAAAATCATCATATGGAATGGGGCAACAAGTTCTCCTACTCGGATACTTGACGCGCAATACAAGATGACAACCCTTCAATTTTCGGCCAACCATGAGAAGCCATACCTGGTCGCAGGTTCTTCGGTTGGAACAATAGAGGTCTTCAACTACGTAGAGGGACGCAGGTTGGCTACACTGGCCGGCCTGACAGGCAGCATCTGTTCAGTCTTCTTTCATCCACAATCGCCGTACATCTTTGCGGCCTCCATGGACGGAACCATCGTTGGTTGGAGGCAGACGGAGGAGTCCGAAGAAGACTATAACATTGAGCAAGAGATATGCTATGCCAGTGGTTTGAATGAAGTTTGCAGCATGGCTCCTTGTGGAAACTCTGGCATGCTTGTTGTTGGAGGCAGGGCGGAGTTCGTCGTGTTGGACGTGGTCCAGAGAGAAGTGGAGGAGGAAACACCAGAGTTACTAGTGCAACAAGCATTAGAGAAAGCAAGCTGCGCCCAAGAGATTTTGGCTACATCTTTGACGCTCAGCAGAAGAGCGGTAAAACTGCAAGCAGAGAAGACCCGGCGGCTGGAAGTTGAGGCAGCTGTGATGAAGACCCGGATATCAGAGATGGAAGAGGCGTCTCAGAGGCAGAAACAGAGGATTGAACAGTTGGAGTCATGCCAATCGAACAACCAGGCTCCTCAAGGTGGGGTTTTGGCAACGGCCAGTGGAGTGGGCAATGATTCAGAAAGAATTAACACTCATCATTTCCAAGAATATTCGGTGAACAGCCTTCACTCTGCAACCAACAACTTCAATGAGAACATGAAGCTGGGCGAAGGCGATCACGGATGCGTCTTTTATCAAGGAAAGTTCCAGCAACAGATTCAAGTCTTAATGAAGAAACCGAAGGTCAAGATCGAGTTCTCCCTGTTTGACAGAGAGCTGGTGGGGAGGTTGAGATCCCTACGGCACCCCCATTTGTTGAGACTCTTGGGGGTTTGCTACGAGGAGAATTGCCTTGTTTACGAGCACATGGCGAACGGAAATCTGAGGGATTTTCTTACAGATCATGGCGAATCTTCCCCCAGACGACACCTGCCATGGTATGTTCGCTTGCGGGTTGTCCGCGAGATTGCGGAAGCCCTCTTCTTCCTTCACTCGAACAAGTCAAGCGACGGTAGGCCGGAGCCTATCGTCCACTGCGCCATAAAGCCAGCCAACATCCTTCTGGATGGAGAATTTATGGCCAAGCTCAGTGGTGTAGACTGTGCCTTACTTCTTCCTAAACTTGCTGCACTCAATCAAAAACCAGAACTTTGTCTGCAACTGGAAACTGGCGGACGGTACATTGCCCCCGAGTACTTGCAGGTTCGTGCGTTCAACGAGAAGACCGACATATACGCATTTGGTATCACTTTGCTGGAAATGCTGACAGGGAAGTGCCAGAGCTCTGCCGAACCCGATCAAGAAGTGCTCGATAACATGGTGAAGCACGACAATATTCTAAGGAATTCTCTGGACCCAAGCGCAGGCTCATGGGACATTGAGCTGGCCCGAGAACTGGCAAAACTGGGACTGGCATGTGCGAGTTTGGAAAGACGGCAGCGACCAGACAAGGGGACCATTCTTGGACTATTGGAGGGAATTGCTTGTAAGTTAAACAACACTGACTCGGCGGGGAATACGGAGGATTGACAAAAATGCGGTACCTGGTAAACACCCATTACGCAGAGTCCGTGATTGATAGCACAAATTTTACTGTATCGTCTCCCTAGGAGACAGTACACATAATATTATTCATGTGTAGGCAAGGGGTCACCAGTGATACAGCCTAACATGCTGCAGATCACTGATGAAATACCCTCACATGGACAGAGGATATGAAATTGACAAAGGAATATTACCCATACTAGCAATATCAGTTCAGCTCAAGGGTTAAGGAAAGGGACATCCATGTCCACTATTTGGTATTTAAGCAATTATTTATTGAATTGATTGACTGAGTGATATAAACTTCCTTCCTGCAGATCTGTGATACCACCCCACTATGGATAGAGGATATTGTGGATTGACACTTTTTTTTTTTTTTTTTTTTTTTTTTCACACATTATTACCCACACTCCTATGTCATGTCAGGGTAAGGGTTAAAGCACCAGTACACCACACATGGGCCCGCGGGTGTCATCACGAAACCCGCACCACTTCGAAGGCCGCCTATTTGTTTTTTCCACAGCGCCCCACGCCGCGCGACCCCTCCGAGTTTTGCTTGGCAATGTGGCGACAAAACTTTCTGCAAGGCTGGGGCCGTGTACTTGCGGTTTGAGAAAACGGATGTCTATGTCTGCCATTTAGTATTTAATATACAATTAATTATTGAATTGATTGACTGGCTCAGGCTCTTCCCATCTCAGTATACTGAGCAAGCCTGCAGTCTCCCTATCCTGAGGAACTAAAACAACGATACACAGTCATGCACATATTACTATATACTAACTATGACACGGCCGTAACATAATTTCTAAGGATATAATTTGATTTGCATGAGATGGCAAAAACCCTGAGTCAGATGCAAAACTGAAAATAAGATTCATGTGCCAGCTCCTTCCCGAGGGCCACTGGTTCAGTTTCGTTTTCACAGCGTATGAAAGGACATTGAAGGGACAGGGAGAGTACTTGGCAGGTGAGTGATAGTGTGTTCAAGCAGCTGCAAAAATGACATTGCAGGGGATCGAGGTTCAGGTGGGTATGGTACAGAGGCTGGGTGTACTACATGCGTTAGGTGCTATCTCAGCCTAATATCTGTGGTGAGTGCAGTATTATCGTGGAGTGCTGTCAGCAGTGCATGTAGGCTGGGTGCTACTCAGGCTGGTTGTCGTGGAGTGCTGTCAGCAGTGTATGTAGGCTGGGTGCTACACAGGCTGGTTGTCGTGGAGTGCTGTCAGCAGTGTATGTAGGCTGGGTGCTACACAGGCTGGTTGTCC